GCGTGTATAGTTCCCTTGAACACTGAAGTTATGTAGGATCTACTGTGTTAATTATTGAAATATTTCTTTGCTTGAGAGGATTTAAAATATGTAATATATTTGTAAATAGTTGAGAAGACTAATGTTAATAACCAGAAGTTGCAAATTGTTGTCTGAGGTGAGTAGTTGAAAGACAGTTCATGGTCGCTGGTAAATTACTTTGTGTGGACTGAAAGATTAAAAATAATTCTGTATTTTTTTAATGCTGCTTCCTAACTTACAAAATATGAAAAAAATAAAACTTTTTGTTGAATTATATGATGCAAGGACAGCATTTACTGTAGGTGATCATGGGCAGTGAGATTTTAACATTTTCTCCCATTCAAAGCTTAAGCTTAGCAAACGTGTTTTCCTATCTAATTTAGACATACTGTAATAAGTTTGGTTTTAGAAAAATCTTTCATGGCAAACGGCAATTATGGAGGGAACAAGGAACATTTAAATCCACATATTCAATAGTAGTTTCCATTCTCCTTTCTTGGTTCCTTTTACATTTGTCGGAAGTAAAATCTGTAATGGAAAATCAAGGCTTGTAAGATAAAATCCTCATACTAATGCTATTCTCACTTTGGATACAGTACAAACATAGGGGATGCAAAAGCATAGGATGGAGTGCTCTCCTTTTTTCCTTTGGTTTATTCAAAGGGTGGTATGGATTTTAAACCTGTTGTCCTGATTATCTTTGGATAACCAGTTCCATCAGCTCTCATTCTCACAATAAACAAAAGTAAATGTGACTTTATCCAGTAGGATTGGGATCTCCATAAGAGTGGGAGGATCCCTTGGGAGTTGGGCGGCATAGAAATGCGATAAATTAAATTAAATTAAATTAAATTAAATTAAATTAAATTATTAAATTAAATTAAATTAAATCACGAAATAGAAAAAAAAGTGCCTGTTCCAGCAGAAGCAGTTTAGGAACCATTTCCTGAAACTAGATAAGTTCAGTGTTTAAAGGAAGGAGGACCCAGCATTTAAATTCAATTTCAGCCTCTACAGTATTTCTTTTCAGTCTTCCTTTTTTCTTCCCCATGTACACAGTGGTTTTCTAGACTAACCTGGAATCCAATAAAAGTTAGTAAAACAGATTGGCCATATAAAATCTTAATATGCTACAGATAACTACCCCATTAAGAAATTAATTTGGGAAAAGTAACAAGCTTGGGCTCTTCTTGAATTTTTATATAGCCCATGTCTATCCTGCTGTTCCTAAATTATTGCATCTGCTTGCTGTTGTTTATTCAGATTATTTGTGTGTTATTTCAGAATATGTTTGCCTTTCTCTGATTGGGAAAGCTATTTGCCCCGGGACATTTGCCTTACAAACCCAATATAACAGCATTTTTTCAAATTTAGCCCATCAAAAGCTGAAAAAATATAGGAGTAAAGCAATAATATATGTTTTTCTTTAGGGGGGTAGTTACAAAGTAGTATAGTTACATTATGTCACTATAATATTATCAGAAGCTTACTAATTGGATTGCTTGACAAACTTATAGAATAGTGTTGCACTGCGGAGGAAAGAGGTGACGTTTTAGCTTTTGTCAAAACATACATGTATATTTTAGGGATGCGGTGGCTCAGTGGCTAAGACACTGAGCTTGTCAATTGAAAAGTTGACAGTTCAGCGATTCGAATCCCTAGTGCCGCGTAACGGGGTAAGCTCCCGTTACTTGTTCCAGCTTCTGCCAACCTAGCAGTTCGAAAGCATGTAAAAATGCAAGTAGAAAAATAGGGACCACCTTTGGTGGGAAGGTAACGGTGTTCCGTGCGTCTTTGGTGTTTAGTAATGCCGGCCACATGAGCACGGAGACGTGTTTGGACAGCACTGGTTCTTCAGCTTTGAAACGGAGATGAGCACCGCCCCCTAGAGTCGGGAACGACTAGCACATATGTGCAAGGGAAATCTTTACCTTTACCTTACATGTATATTTGTAGTAATATATGTGTAGCCCTCTGATTTATCACCTGATTTTGGATGCTTTCTGAAGTGCTAAAAATATTGGTTATCCTATTTATATCGTCATTTTGTGATGCTATTTTTCCATATATATAAGAAGAGGCCCACAAAAATGTTTTTAAAGGATTTTTATTTAAACACATGGCATTTATCCTGCATTCATTCATCTGTTCATGTATTCTCCCTTCATGCACGTACACAGACATGCCCACAAATATATATCACTATATTTTTTCCTCCTTTCTCATTGAAAATATAAAGAGCATAACTATGTAATAATATTTTCAACATGATTGGAAAAGCTACCGTGATTGAGACCATAAACCCTGTAGCTAAGCTCCAATTGAGCTTGAAATTTCATCATTTAGAGAATAGGAATTACTAATTCTAATTCTACTAAATCTGCCACTTTTCTACTTCGCTGGTGTTCTAGAATTTCTGTCTCCTAATTTGCTCTCAGATGGATGATGTAGATCTGGAACAGAGATGTGAAACTAGGAAATTCAATCTTTTGAAAGAATGACCTGGCTCAAATTTCAGTTATTATTTAAGCTGTTAGGTGTACAAGATAACGAATATTTCTATTTTTTTCATTATCTGCAAATATAATACACAATGTCACACACACTGAGCTATCCTTCAGCTGGTTGTGTTGATTTTAGCCATCTCTTAACACTGCCTATAGTATTTCATGTATGTTTGAAGACTATCACTCTGTACTCTGTAATAGATAGGAAGCTAAGTACTGTCACCAAAGTGCTAACAAGTTGTTATGGTTGAGTTTTTCTTCTTACAGACATTTTGCCCCAAATCTAGTTTTTTTGGTTTTTTAGGCTTGTTACATTGAAGCAAGTATCACACAAAATACCCCACACATTATATGGGTTCCTGTCTAGTTCCAAGCAGATTCCAAGACTTTTATTAATCATCTTACTTTAGGAGCTACACTACTGAAATTTCTTTTCCCAGGACTACACCCTGTCTAGGAATGGAAGTTTCCCTTTATATTTGTTTGTTCAGTGTGGTCAGAAATATCTTAAAGCACTAAATTATTTATTTATAAAATAGTTTTAATTGTCCCAAATTACTTCATTCTAAAAATATTTCCACTGCCCTTTCATGCAACGGAATTGTTACTCGGTTAAAAATTAATTTAAAGCAGATACTTTAAAGCAGTGGTCACCAACTGGTAGTCCGTGGACCAATGGTCATCCACGAGAAAATTTTGGTGGTCCGCAGAAAAATTATTTCATTTTTTATATTGCATTAAATCAGGGGTCCTCAAACTATGGCTCCTGGGCCGGATACGTGCACTGAACTTTTGTGTTGCTGCAGAGAGTTTGGGGTCTTTTTGTGTGGGTCGGAGAGGGCAGAAATTCCGACTTGGGGTCTGGTGCGGGGCTTTGGATGAAGGCTGGAGGGAAGTGCTGCTAGTGGCAAAGAGCCAGAGGGCCTTGTTCCAGTGGGACTGCCTCATGGCCTGGAACTGGCTGACCATCTCAGCCCACTGAGTGTCCAGGCGCTAGTACCTCGCCTTGCACTCCCGCAGGTCTTCCCTCTGCTTGGAAAGCCTATGCTCGTAGTCCTCAGTGAGGTGCTTCTGCTGAACCTTCTTCTCGGCCAGATCCAATTTGAACTGAGCCAGCTGTTTTGACAACTCTTTCTTGTGATGGCTGCTTAGCTCCAACAACTGCTTCCTGTTGGGGCCCTAAGGAGCCCAGGGGGGCAGGTGAGGAGTGGCTGGGAGGGGAGGGGCAAGTAGAGGCCAGTGAGGCACCCCTTGATGCAAGTGACATCAAGTTGGCCATGCCCACCAAGTCACATGGCCACCTAGTCACGCCCACCCAGCCGATCATTAGGCAGATCATATTAGTGGTCCACAGGATTTAAAATTACGAATTTAGTGGTCCCTGAAGTCCAAAAGGTTGGTGACCCCTGCTTTAAAAAACAAATCTCAGAATCCTCATTATACCAGATCAAGCATATTTAGAACTAATAGAATATTTGTAGTTCAGGGTTGAAATGAGCAGTCCTTACTTCTCTCTGAGCTTGGTTGTTTTCTAGCAATCAAGAAAAACAACATTTTCTTGTTTATAAATGTTCTTGGCTGTAATGAATTATATAAGGTTCAGAATTGACGATATCATAGATCAGTTTTTCTCAACTTTGTAAACTTTCAGATGTGTGGACTTTAACTCCCAGAATTCCTTAGCCAAGTGGCAGCGGAATTCTGGAAGTTGATGTCCATACATCATAAAGTTCATAAGGTTGAGAAACACTGTCAGATAATTAAGTGTTTTTTAAGCTTTAAAATATGCGTTTAAATTATGGTGCAAAGTGTTGTTATGCAAATTTTTTTTTTAAAAAAGTGACAAGCATATATCTCTCCTCATTTAGCCTGTTCAGAGAAATGTTATTAGATTATAAATATATAATAATATAGGAAGAATGGCTGGTAATACTGACTATAGGATATTTGGGGAATATAATACATTTATTTGTTCTGATTTTAAGTAATTTTTTCCCCAAGACCAATCCTTTTTATTTCAGATTGTGCATTTATTTTCTCTGTTTGTTGTGGATAATGGAATAAAAGAGGATTTTGCAAGCCCTAATAATCTTCTAGGAGAGTTGTACCGGCTGGAAACTGGGAGACTGTGAATTCTAGTCTGGCTCAGGCACGAAGCCTGCTCGGTCATCAAGAGCCAGTTGGTTTTTCTCAGCCCTAGGAAATGGCAAACCACTTCTGAAAAAAAAAACCTTTCCCAGAAAACTGCAGGAACTTGTCCAGGAAGTTTCTGAGAATCGGACATAATTGACTGGAAGACAACAAAACCCTACTATTGCTGTATCTCCCATGGCCTTCTGAGACTTTGACAACATGAGTGTTTTTAAGCTAGGAACAGGCAATGGAGAGAAAGAACTCTGTCCAGCCTTTTTGGAACAATTGGTGAACCCCAAATCCTCCTCTTTCCCAACAGATTCCTTTTACAATGCCCTTTCTTCTGCCCAATTATTAATTGGCTGAACCTGCAGTTTGCAGAAAGCAATAACTTTATTTAAGTCCTAGACAGCACAAACTATTCAGACAAGGAGAACAAATCCAAATATTTAAAATATAGTCCATATTTCAATATAGTACCGTGGGATGGGAAGGGGAAGAATCTAGATCATACTAGATTAGATTATTTATCCCTCCATTTGATAAAATGCATACTCTGAAAATATGAAAAATATGTACATAATATTTTATTGTAAAATAACTACCACAATCTTTTGGAAGACATCTTTACCCAAAAGAAGATACTGAATAAGCAGAAAAACAGAGATACACCTCTATCTCTGATGACCCTAAGACAGTTGGCTATATATATATATGCTCAGAAATAGTTAGGTAAATTTTCACTGGAGATAAAATAAATCACCAAATTGTTGATTTTGCATAATAAAATGAAAAGATCAATAAACCTTGCATTCCTATAGAAAAGATGGATGGGGGTTGTTTGAGAGTTAAAGCACATATGAAACAAATGTGTATCTGAATTGCTAATCTATGTGGGTGACTGTAGGGATATTATTTTAGTTTTGACTAACCTTATTTATTATTATACCTGATCCTGAATACAATTCAATATAGTTCTGCCTCAGGAAAATTGGGCAGTTTGGTTTGGTCCACATTTTAAAGGAAAAGTAACAATGCATATCTCAGATTGCATTATAATTTTGGGATTCTGCTCTTCTCAGGATATTGTAATACAAATCTCAGGTCACAAATTGCATACAAATATATAGGGAAAACACAAATGACAGTTATTGAAAGATCCATATGAAAATAAATGCCATTTTTCTGGCAGATTTGATTAATTATGAGTGTTTAATAGAAGTTATATGAGATGTAGAGCAGTTTAAGGGTTTTCCTTAGTAAATAAGAGTTAGGTCATACTATTTTTAAAACATTATCTTAAATTTAACCAGACATAAATCTCAAATGCAATTAATTGTGACTCTGCCAGAGAAGATATCTTTGTTGGGGTGAAAAAGAAATCACTTGATATTGCTAATTGTAGCCAATTGACATTGATTTCATGAATTATTTGCTTACATTTATGCTGCCCATTTTCCATTCTGACACTGAGATTTAAAATGGTGAAATACAATGCCACACAAAATGACATTAATGAATGAAAGCTAACCTAGTCAGCACACATTGTTCTCACTGCCAAAGCTATTTTACTTTTCAAAAACAGGTGGATAATAATCTATTGGCTATGGTACGTACGGTGGAGGCTTTTCACCTGACAAGTAATAGGCTGGTGTGTATAATGGAGGAGCATTAGGAGGCGCCCCATGGTTACAGCTGGCCTGAGAAGGTGGCTGGGGGTCATCAGCTAAAGATACATCAGTAGACGAAGATGTTGGGAAATTGCCGGTAGGCTGCACCAAGACAAAGAAAAAGCTTGCAATGAAGCTGAAGTGTAAAACAGTAAATGTATGCTGATAAACTTCATAATTTCTAAGCCCCAAATTCTGGATTTGCCACTGCAAAGTTTTACACGCACACATGCACCTGACCTACTTCAACCTACATCATTCTCAAGCCTAAACCATAATGTTTTTTTAAAATTTATTTTGGTGTAGTGATGATATAAGAATCCAGCCGAACAAAAGGAAGAATTGAGACACATTTATATATAACGAACCACAGTTTGAAAATACTTTTTAAGTGGGTAACTCTTTGGTTATTTTAATTATATCTTGTTGTGATATTTAAATCCAGAATCCCAAGCTTCTGGTTAGTTTAGTCCTTGGCCCAATTCTTTGTCTGTTGCCAGAAGCAATAAAGCAAACAAACAAGCTTGTGCTTATCTGTAGGATTGACTCTGCTTGTTCTTGCCTTGTCCAAGGACCATTGGTAAAGTAACTCTTGGCTTAACACGATCTGTAAACATTGTCTGTGTTAGCTTTCAATATCAACAAAACTCTGATTTATCTGCTTTGTTTTGATTCTTTGTCTGCACAAACCCATTTCTGTTGACCTTATAAATCAGTGTTTATCAAAAGTGGCAACTTTTAAGATGTGAGGACTTCAGTTCCTAGAATTACCAGCCAGTCTATTCAAATTGTTAAGCTTGAGAAATGCTAACATAAATGTTAAGCTGTGGTAGCAATAGATATTCCTCCTAACACACACACGAAAATATGCTCTTTTGTCCACTTGGTATTCATCGCACAGACTTGGATTAGAGTAGCCAATATGCACCCATAGATTCACACACAAAATTCCCCATTATAAAAGCAATCCAGGATGGCACTGTGAATGCCAGATGTATTGGCACACCTCGTGTACTCTACCTGAAGGGGCAGATGATAGGAAGGATAATGAGGGACAGAAGCTGCTGAAGGACAAAATCCAGCATATGTCAAGATCTGCTGAGCAGGATTGTAAAGGATCTGTGGTGGCGGAGCAGAGCTGAAGGCAATTTGGGAAACAGGCACCTGCAATGGCAAGAGATGAATCAATTTTACTTCCTCTCCAAGTCTGATTTCAATGCTGAATACTTTTTCCCTTGATACATTAATCACCCCTCCCCAAATAATATGCCATTCCATTTGTATAGATGGGCAAATGAAAGCTTTTTAAAAAGAGAAATCAATCTTTTTTTTACCTCGTTTAAAAGTCCACTGTTTTGGCAACAAGCCTGCTTTTATTGGAGCTTGTAAAACAAGCTAGTAATGGGGCTGGCAAGTTCTCTTTTCTAAGGCTGGAAGAATCCACACAACACTACAGGGCAGCAAAGTGTTAGAGCAAAACTAGATAGCTTTAAGATTGGGAGGGGAATTCTGAAGTCCACCATCGTAAGGCTGCCAAGGTTGAGGAACAATGAGCTAGAGGGTTCTATAGGCCAACATCTAGCAGAAAAATTCTGTTTCCTTCAGTTGTCTTTTGAATGTTTGTTTCTAGTATAATCCAGTTTTTTGTATTCTATTCATTCGGGCAAGAAGAAACATTCTTTTAAGACAATGCTTCAAGCTTAGGTTAGGGAATTGCAACTGCAGTATTCCAGGTTAACTATAGTAGCCGTCAGACTTGGATATTACATGGGGAGGGGGGGGGATTTGGCAGTTGCTTTCTGCCAAGAGTGGATTTTTATATAAAAAGTGCAACTCAGCACTGCATGACTGCTTTAAGTTGCCTTTCTTTCAGTTGCCTAGCAAATCTTGATTTGTGTCTCCTAAACAATCATTTATTTCCCGGCCCCCGTTTGCAAATATAAATACTTAATAAAATAAAATTGTCCACATTAATTAACATGAACAGTTAGTATAACACTGTCAAACTTTTAAATAAAAGTGAAGTCTGATCACTCAGTATGCAATGCCAACCAAAAGTTCCAAGATATTTCTATTATCCTAACTACATCCCACCATCCATGTTAATTACATTGTTGGCACAGTCCATTCTAAAAAATAGCAACCCAGGCATATTCCATGGAGGATAAAACTTTATGACCAGCAGAGAATTATGATGCAATCTTAAATTTGATTAGAATTGCATGTAAAACTGCCAAGAGGAAGATCAGAAGTTTTATATATTAATAAAACTTAATATATATTAATATATACAAGTATATATTAATCTTTTCTGCTCTTTTCCATTCTTTTCATTTTTCTATGCCCATTTTTATTGGTCTTTTCTTTTTCACATTTACTTCACTATATGTTTGAATGTATTTCTTATTGTGCATGTAATTTTTTTTTAATAAAAGTCTTTTAATAAAAGCTATTTTTAAAAAATATGACCAGCAAAGAACACATTATAAATTATAGCATATGTATACAAAGATGACAGCTGGATAGAAGTCTGTAGTAGATTTCAAATTCCAAATGCTGCACAGCCCTATTAGACAATGGCATGTGCTTGTTACAATTCCTTAGAATTATTTCTTTAAAAAAGGCAATGCCCCAAAGCACTAAAAATGTTGGAGTTTTCCAAAGAAACTAAAGTGAAGAATATTTAGTGCAGATTCAATTGATAAGTCACTAGTATATTAAATAAAAATAGATTTAGTCTATCCGAGCTGCAAAAAAATCTAGACATCCATAAAAGGCAGCAAACCAATAGAGAAAACTCTAATTTTCCACTATGTAGAATGCATTAAGATTTTGGCAACTCAGATATGATAGTCCTATTCAAGGTAAAACAGAGGAATGCTTTCTCAATTGCATGAAATCTAGATAAGCAGCTTTGTGAGATTTAACTAAGATGATTAGGTGAAAATTATTGTAAACAGAAAAACCTAGGAATTGTAAACATACTGCAGCAAGCTAGGTTATTTTAATCAAGCAAGGAAGCTGACATTTGTTTTTCATTTTGAATTTTTTTTCATTTTACAGTTCCTGAACTAATTTCGACCCGGACATCATCAGGAAGCTTCTGTGCATGTGCAGCCCCATTGTGAACTGGTAGTAAAGGTAAGTAGAACCCACCCCTGGAACACAGTCTATCCATGGTCACCAGGATTAGAGTTAATTTTAAAGTGGCTTTATATTTAGAGTCCCTCCAGGACACTATAAGATAATTCTGAGCTGTGAGAACACACCATCAGCAACTATTTAATTCAAACACATATTTTTCCTTGGTCACTTCAGCTGTCCCAGGAAAACAGGCCTCTAAGGAGGGACGTATAAGTATAAATTTAGGACATCCATTTATACTCTGGGTTCAAGTCCAAAGTACTGCATATTTGTATTTTATTTTGCCAGGACAACATAAACATGCTAGTATGGATTAATGTCCATTAATAGCAGGCAAGACTTACCACATCTTTAAAGGCTCCAAGTATGGCTGCTGTGATTATGCCAAGGAACAAACCAATGATGTTTAAGACGGTGGATGACCAAAGCAATCGATAGAGGTGAACCACATCCTGGCAGCTGCTCACTCCAAGGAATTCATAATAGCTGGTAGAGTGTTCTGAGCTGGAAACAGGATATCAGAGCTTTAACACCTGATGGAAAGCTATATGGTACCATTCCAACTTTGTCCCTTCTCTCTTATAGTATTTCTTCCTTTGAAATCACATCTGTCAGAATGTATTAACTCCTTCTTTTCCTGCCCTCTTCCCCTTAACAATAACTGTCTGGGTAAATTGGCAAGATTAAAAACTCTAGCAAGGTGCTGGTATTAAGAATGTGAAAACATTTGTAGTTTTAAGGAGGAATACCATGTTTCCCCGAAAATATAAGACCCTGTCTTATATTTTTTTTGTCAGCAAAAAAGGCACCAGTTCTTATTTTCGGAGGATGTCATCCACTGACTAACCTCACTTGCGTGCGTCAACCCCGGCCTCCTTTTCTCCGTCAGAGGTCTTCAGGAACTTCTTCTGTGGCCAGCAAGGCTTTCCTGAAGGCCTCTGCAGCCAATAACAGAGCTCTGAATCAATCCGGAGCTTTGTATCAGCTACAGAGGCCTTCAGGAAAGTCTTGCTAGCCTTGCCGGCTGCAGAAGAAATGGGCTGGCGAGGCAGGTGTCAGGGTGTGTAGGCCTGGCTACAACTGTCCAAAGGTAAGTAGTAGGGCAGCTCTACTCCCCCATCCCCACCCTAGCTTAATTTTTACCCGAGCATTCTCGAGTGGGTGGGATCTTAATTAGGGCTTAGTTTTTGGGGGTAGGGCTTATATTGGGCACATGTGTAAAAATCAAGCTAGGACTTATTTTCAGGGTAGACTGAACAGGGTACATTTTAGAACAGGGTACATTTTTTTAAAAAAAGTCCATATTTTACACTGGGAAACATTGTATAGTTAAATCCTTGTTACCATTATGTTCTTCTGGCCTCTTTTCTGGATGACGGGAATGCGCTTTACCCAGGGCTGCCTTTGAAGAGCATTTGGAAGTTTCAGCTGGTTCAGAATGCAGAAGTGCGAGTAGTAAATGCTGCCAGTTATTCAGTACATGGACCCCAATACTCTGTGAACTACAGTGGTTGCCACTGTGCTTCCAGGTGTTATTCAAGTTACTGGTTGTCACATTTAAAGCTCTTTGTGGATTGGGACTGGGTTGCTTGAGGAACCATCTCTCCCAAATTGTTTCTATTCATCTGATCCAGTCAGGCAGGATGGACCTGCTTCTGCTCTCATTGAATAGAGGATGCTAGTTGGTGAGCCTAGAAGACGCATCTTTTCTGGGGTTGCACCCAGGAGATGAGGATGGCCCCAGCCCTGCTGGCCTCTCCGAATGCTCTGAAGACGTGTTTCGATGCCTGGGGTTTACAGGGTGCAGGGATCAGCGTATTGGTTATGCTCGTGATTTTAGTTTGTGTTGCTCAAACACTGTGTATTTTACCTTTTGTAAGGTTTATAATTGTTTTTGTTTTATTCTAACTTTGTTCGCTCCCCTGAGTAATTTAGTGGCCATGTATATTGGATAAGTAAATAAATGTATAAACTATTATTGTAACAAAAATGTTACAATACAAGGGAATTCTTACTTACACTTACTTACTTACTTACTTACTTACTTACTTACTTACTTACTTACTTACTTACCGTATTTTTCGGGCTATAAAACACTCTGGATTATAAGACGCATCTAGCTTTTGGGGAGGAAAACAAGAAAAAAAAATCTGCCTCTGCCTCTGCCTTCCATCAATTTGCCTCCTTGCAGCAAACAGGAACAGCCTGGTCAGCTTCAGCACAGCCTGATTTAGCACGGGTAGCTGATTGGCGGTTGGATCTGCCAGAATACCACAAATCAGCTGTTCCAGGCTGTGGGGATGGCTGCACCCATCAGCACGGTCACCACCCATCACCGCTGCCACCTATTCCCGCCTCCACACGTCCCATTTTGCCCTCCGCGTGTCCCATTTTTGGCCTCTGCGCGTCCCATTTTCATCCTGTTCCAGGCAATCACTGCCGCTGCCACCTATCCCCACCACCTGGAACAGACCAAAAATGGGAAGCGTGGAGACAGAAAATGGGGCACGTGGAGGGAGAAAATGGCATGTGCGGAGGCGGCGATGGGTGGCGACAATCTCCGCAACCTGGAACAGCTGATCGGTGGTATTCTGGGAGGTAGATCCAATTGCCAATCAGCTGCTCATGCTAAATCAGGCGTGCTGAAGCTGACCAGGCTGTTTGCTGTTTGCTGCAAAGGGGCAAATTGCTGGGAGGCAGAGGCCGAAGGGTGGTGGCTGGCGGGTGGGCAGGGCTTTGGCAACATTCACTCTATAAGATGCACAGACATTTCCACCCACTTTTTGGGGGGGGGAGTGTGTCTTATAGTCTGAAAAATACGGTACTTATTTATTTATATTATTTGTTCATGTCTTTATTATTTTTACAAATAACTCAAAGTGACAAATATCACACACCAACACACTTTCTTCTTTCTATTTTCCCAGCAACCCTGAGAAGTGGATTGGGCCCAAAAGCACTCAATTGATTTTGGTGGCTAAGAAGGAACTTTAATTCATAGTCTCCTGCTCTCTAGCCTGGTGCCTTATGAAAGATGGGAATGAACAACTCTAAAAACCAGATATGGTGAAATGCATCAACTTAATTTTATTTTCACCCAATCTAGAAAACTCCTGAAATTAATGCAATTAATTAATGCAATTAATACAATTAATAAATGGCAATTAAGGTGTAATACCATATCCTGATGACTTGTTAAAAATCTTATAAGGGATTTTGTGAAAAGTAATCCATTATTTTTAAAATCTGAAATCATTATCTCTATATTTCATGAACAATTTTAAGTTCATCTTTGAGATTAATGTTTTAAGACATGCCTCATAAATAAGGTTCAGGGGATAGGAGGGTTTAAACATGGTGTATCTATGCTTTTAGTTGTTACCTACCTATTAATAAGTATCTGACTATAAGTGCAAAAATAAATGAATGATACTATTAAACAAGGCATTTGTTTGAAAAGGACTATGATTACAGAGCAAAAAGAGAGGATAAATCTTAACAAAGAACCTGAATGGGGCTCATCCATTCAGTTGATGTCCTTGGGCCAAATTTTATTTCTCCTTGGAGTCTATCAAAAACCTTATAAATCCAGGGTTAGGTTAGGATTAAGTAGGCAGTGGCAGTGGCTTCTCTTTTTCTCATGAGCACTTACTACTGTCAAATATCTGAGTTGAGACTTAGGAATTAGGAATCTATCTATCTATGTATCTATCTATGTATCTATCTATGTATCTATCTATCTATCTATCTATCTATCTATCTATCTATCTATCTATCTATCTATCTACCTATCTATCTATCTATCCATCCATCCATTGGTGGGATTCAAATAATTTAACAACTGGTTCTCTGCCCTAATGACCAGCTTGGTAGGCGTGGCTGGGTGGTCATGTGACTAGGTGGTCATGGCCAGGGTGGGCGTGACACAGGACTCATGTGGTGCTAAGGCAGGACTTCCCTGAGACCCTCCCTCATCCTCATTATACAGGTAATCCTCCAGTTACAAATATAATAGAGCCTGCCAATTACATTTGTAACCTGGGGGTTCATTTGATTGAATCAATCACATTAAATGAACATGACCACTCCCTGTTTTCCCCAATGCATTTGTTAATCAAATGCGCAGGTCTTTAAATGCACATGAGATATCTCAGGCTAAGGAACAGCATGTGGGGCCTAATGCTGGAGCAGACCATCCAAGGCATCCCCCAATCCACTGAGATACCTGGGGTCCCCACAATTGCTTCCCCCACCCCATCCTGCCCTGCTGGGTCTCCACAGACTGCTTTGCTAGCATCTCAGATTCCACTTACTGCTCCCCACCCCATTTCCCATGGATTACTTACTTTTTGAAAATCTCGAGGTCCAGAAGAGGCTGACCCACTGGCAGAGAAGCCAAAGTGTTTTATTCAGATGATGGTAAAGCTGTAAGAATGTGAAATCTAACGAAAACATTTTCACCAACTTCTGAGTAAAAGACTTTCGCTTGGAGCCAACTTCAGGGATTGAGGTAGCAACAGCAGCCAACCAACGAGCAGCTTGCTTCCTTTGGGGCTCCCCTTGAAGAGCACTCGGAGGCTCCAACTGGTCCAGAATACGGCCACGCGGGTAATTATGGGTACAACTCATTGCGCCCATGTAACACCTCTCCTGCGCGAGCTGCACTGGCTCCCAGTGGTCTTCTGGGTGTGATTCAAGGTGTTGGTTACCACTTTTAAACTGCTCCATGGCTCAGGACCTGGGTATTTACGAGACCGCCTTCTGCCACCGATAGCCTCCCACCGACCAGTTCGCTTCCACAGAGAGGGACTCCTCAGGGTGCCGTCGGCCAAATTATGTCAACTGGCGACACCCAGGGGGAGAGCCTCCTCTGTGGGAGCCCCTACCGTTTGGAATGAACTGCCCCCAGACATACGGAAGATCTCTGATCTCCGAGTTTTCCGCTGTGCTCTTAAGACCCTGCTCTTCCGACAGGCAGGGCTAGCTTCATAATTGATTTTTAAATTCAGAGTTCTTAAATTTTTTGGGTTTTTTAGCTAATTTTGGCCTTAAATGTAATACTTTTAAGAATTTTTAAATTTAAATTGTGATATTTGTATTGTGTTTTACCTGGCTGTACACCGCCCCGAGTCCCTCGGGAGAGGGGCGGTATAGAAATAAAATTATCCTTATCCTTATCCTTTGTCTCATTGGGCTGTACTGCAAGGCCCTTGTTGATTGGCTGCCATGCCCCAATCCTTGAAGCTGTTCATTTGAACTAGCCAGTCAGCAGCAAGCAGACTGGGCCCAAACTTGGCAGAGAAGCCGAAGTCTTTTATTCAGTTGTGAAAAGTTGCTTTCCTTACATTTCATGTTCTTACAGCTTTACTGGCTTCTGAATAAAAGACTTTGGTTTCTCTGCCATGTGGGTCAGTCTCTTCTGCAGCTCTTCAAAAAGTAAGTACAGTAAAGCCATGGCAAATGGGGTGGGGAGGGCTGGATCGGCCCCAGGGACCCTCCATTCAACCTGTAACAAGCTGGGGGAGGCCTAGGGAAGCTCAAATGGGGCCTGGGATGGCTGGATCAGGCCCAGGGACCCTCCATTTTGGCCCTTAACAGGCCGGGGGGAGCCCTAGGAAGGCCCTGTAACAGGCCGTTCACACCGGCAAAGAGGCGAAGGAAGGCTCACCAGGCAGGCAGGTAGCTGGGCCACATGGGAGGCAGCAGAGAATGGTGAAGGAAGGCTCGGAAGGGAGCTGGGCTGTGTGGAAGGCTGGTGTGAAGGCAGGCAGGTGGGCTGGGCTGTGGGGGCCACGTGGTCAAGGTAAGTGAGCTAGCGAGCGAGGGAGCCAGAGAACAGCAGCTGCTATGTTGTGGCCAAGGCAGGCAAGTGACATAAAGAGTGACTGGGAAGGGAGGGGTGGACGGGGCAGGGCCAGCCAGTGGCGTGATTAGCCGGTTCTCTGAACTGTGCAAAAATTTAACAACTGGTTCCCTTGAACCAGTCTGAACTGGCTGTATACCACCTCGGTATCTATCAATCAATCAATCTATCTTATCTATCTATCTATCTATCTATCTATCTATCTATCTATCTATCATCTATCTATCTATCTATCTATCTATCTATCTATCTATCATCTCTCTCACTCGCTTGCTCGCTAGCAAGTTTATATGGCCATACATTTCACAAAAAGTTACTCTGGGCAACATACAACAAAGTTCCCTTCTCCCCCTCCACAGCTACCCTGTGATAGGGTTGATCTAAGGCAATGGTCCTCAACCTTTCTGGCTCCATGGACCTAGCTCCTATGCATGTGCAAATGAAGCTTCATTGTGCATGTGCAAATGAAGCCCGCCACTTGAGTGGTCCAGTTCCCAATGGGCCATGAACTGCTACCGTCCATGGACCAGGGGTTGGGATCTCTAACCCTGGTCTAAGAGATACTTACTTTTCACAGTTATATAAATCACAGCAGTAACAGGTGTTACTTTTCACTTTCAGCTGGCATTTGTTATTTAAGGCATAACAGGTCACCTGTAAAGAGAAGGCAACTGATAATTATTAGTGCCACCCATTGTGCCAGATTATTGCTGAACCTCTTCTTATATGGGTGGGCAACCAGGAGCCACCGGAAGATTAGAAAAAAAGTATGCCAAATTTGCTTTCAGGCTGCTTGAATAGGGTTGTATTTCACCAGAACAGAAAGGCCTTCACTGAAATTCCAAAGAAATTGCCCCAAAGAAATTCCTTCCTCGTCCCACCAGGTAATATCCTTCCAAGATGAGCAAATCTAGCTAGGCTAGTCACCAGGGCCTCACTAATGTATCACATATAACCGATGAAAAGGCAGGGTTGAGGACAATCTGGATTCTTAGATGATTTTCCTGTTTCTCTCTGGTTGAACTGTAACTCCCCAACATGTTTGCATGGATGGCTGCTACTGTCCCTGAGGACATAATTTATAATATTTACCAACAGCATGGCAATGCCGAGAACATGTAGAAGAGGCTGTTAATAGGTGAGTGTGTTTTTGAGTTATTCCTGTATCTTGGTGACTGCCTGGGCTAGTCTCTGCAGTTTCCTTGGCAAGATTGCAGAAGTGGTTTGCTATTACCTCCTTCTTAGGAATGAGAGACAAGACTAGAACTCACAGCCCCCTGTTTCTAGCCTGATGCCTTAACTCAGCATTTGTCATTCTTAGCAATTCTAAAATGACTGGTTTTCAACTCCCAGAATTCTTGGTTGCTAAGGTTGAGAAATACTGTCTTAAGACTACACCGAACTGGCTGTCGATGAATAAAGGTGTTCCAAGATATTTTATATATCTGTATGATATACTGAGGATAAGGGGACTTTGATCCACTGAAATCTGTGTGATAATAAGCTATCTAGGAAAAGGTTGGGCTCCCAATTATTGAACTATTGAATGCTAAACTGCCATCTTTTAGGGATGCTTTCAGCTGGATCTTGCCTTGACAGGGCTTGGCCCATTCAATTCGAAGAGCCGATGCCATTAAGTAATTTATTATCATGTACCCTTGTTTTTTAGGAAGGAAAAAAATGATAGGAAGAATGAAAACTATAATATTTTATTTCACAACTCAGATATAATAATCAGCAATGCTGGCCAGACAATCCTAAACCCCAGAGATGTTTCATAGATGGAGCAAGGATGCAGCTAAGAACCTTGTTGGTGGGAGAAACAATAGGAAAGAAATGAGGAAGGAGGAGAATTTACAGCTTCTGGTTGTTGTTTTTAAGTCACCTGATTTCAATCAGTGGGAAGGAATAAATGTAGGCTAGCTCTGAGCTGCTCTGAGATGCCTATTTTCTTTGATCCATTGTTTTTACATTAGTTTTCAACTCTGGAAAACCTAGCCTCATCAGTAAAGGGAAAGATAATCATTTTTCCAGGAATGGAATCCTCCCCCCTCCTCATTTTTTCCTAGAATTGATCCAAGATTGGAAGTAGTCTCTGTTTTCTGAAACATGATTGGGAAGCAGCAATTGTTTTCAGAGCAATAAGATTTCATTTCATTTTTCATTGTTGTTTCAGATTTGGATTAGGTTCCTTCTTCATTTGATAGAAATTCAGCTGGGCTCCTACTGAGGTTACCCTTGTAAGGTCTAAAGTTTTGCTATTATTAAGTATTATGATTCCTGTAAGTCCCAAGAAACAAAAAGAACATGCAATGGTGCATATCTGGAGCTTTGCAATATGCATTATTTGCATTTTCAGTTCTGCTTTATTTGCTTTCTATTATCTCCTTCTACAATCCCCATTTTGCAACACTAGCTTTGAAAACAGCACATTTCACAGACACTGCAAAATCAATTCTGTGTGACAATTCTGTGAGGCTAATAGACTAAGACAGATGTGCAAAACCTCAAATTCCACATGAAAAATTAATAACATAAATGAATTGCACAGAGATGAGCAAATTAGAATGAATCTATGTAATTGCTTTTCAAAGATGCCAGGGCTGTCTGCAAGCTATAGTTAAAAAAAAAAAAGGCAAGATGGTAGTTGTGATGTCCAGACAAGGCACAGAAAAACTGATAATACATTCATCAGATTGAATCAACCATCTTGATTTTTATTTATTTATTTATTTATTGGCAATCCTGCATGTTTTAGAGTGTGAGAAAATTATGAGCAATGATGGTGAATCTTCAAATATGTCCTGAGAATTGATGTCAGAGTTCAGGGCTCCTGAGACAAAAGCCACTTGGCTGTCCAGCCAAAATGGGTAGGAACGTAAGGAAAATTGTCAATTTTCAGGATGGCAGATACTGTTCATTGCAGTGGTTTCCATATTTGCTGGGTAATTAAGCATGGAACAAAAAACTGCCTGAATAAGTAAAAATCCTAAAACTGCTAGAGATCAAAGTTGCTTTGAACAGGGGCCAGTGAAGAATCTTGTAGAGGAGAGGCAAATGGTGAACCTTAAGGTATTTGTAAAAAGAATAAAGGCAAGATACAAGCAAACAAACTTCAGAAGCAGGGTGCAGCCAGAGCATTAAGCATCAATATATATATATAGAATTCCCTTGCTTTTGCCAATAGTAGCAGAAGCAGAATGTGTTGTTCAAAGTAGCTGAAAAATATGCAAACATGTTACAGGTAAACGTTCCCTCGCACATATATGTTAGTCGTTCCTGACTCTAGGAGGCAGTGCTCATTTCCGTTTCAAAGCCGAAGAGCCAGCGCTGTCTGAAGACGTCTCCGTGGTCATGTGGCTCACCTGACTAAATGCCGAAGGCACACCTTCCCACCAAAGATGGTTGCTATTTTTCTACTTGTATTTTTTACATGCTTTCAAACTGCTAGGTTGGCAGAATAATAATAATAATAATAATAATAATAATAATAACAACAACAACAACAACAACAACTACTACTACTACTACTACTACTACTACTACTACTACTACTACTACTTTATTGTCATTGTACCTGTATACACAGTATACCAATACAATGAAATTCACTTAACATCCAAAGAAGCTGGGACAAGTAACGGGAGCTCACACTGTTACGCAGTGCTAGGGATTCGAACCACTGAACTGCCGACCTTTCTGATTGACAAGCTCCATGTCCCCCGTAAACATGTTAAAGAGGCCTTAATTTTATTTCTCAGAAAACAGCAGTTCATTGACTAGGTTAAGTTTAGATTCTCTCTTGGGGTTGTATCCCCCCCACACACACACATCCTATTTTTGTTTTGTTTACGCGGATGCTCTTTTTATTCAATAGGCTGGAAGTATATGCTGCCAAAACAAAACAACAACAAAAAACTCCTGAGAGTAACAGGAACCAAAATGTTACTTCAGCCCCAGGATTATGCCTGAGTGCGCCTGTCTTTGGCTGAAGACCAGAAGAACTCCAGATAGAATCTGCAGACATTCTTGAATTTTGTCAGGTTATTACAATTAAAAGTTGAAGTTTGGAGGCCAATATAAATCATCAGCTATTAAGGTAACTTGGGTACATCTGACCGAATGTCATTCCGCACAAACATCCGCAGGAAAAGAGCAATGGCATTTTCCAACAAATCATTTATGTAACAAGAATGGAATGAACTTCTGTTCCAAAGCAAATATTCTTGCCACACATACAATAGCATTTCTTTGCTGCCAAAATACAGAAAATAAACCTCCAGCGAGCGCTGAGATTAAAAAACAGTCACCTTGTAAGTCACCTTTCCATGTACTCTACAAAGCTAGATCTTAATCTAACAATAATAGCTTACCTCTGTCTGGTAGACATCAAATAAGTATCCAATTCCACTTGTATAATACTGGCACCTTTTAGTATACAAAGGCCTGGGTTCCTAGAAGAAGGAAAAGAAGAAAAATAAAGAATTAAAAATGTGCTTTAAGTTACAATCAGTGAAGGGATTCAAGCAATTTAACAACCGGTTCTCTGCCCTAATGATTTCTTCCAAAAACCAGTTTGCCAAACTGCTCAGAAAGTTAACAACCGGTTCTCCCGAAGTGGTGCGAACTGACTGAATCCCACCACTGGTTACAATACAGATCTATCTTTACTTCTCCTATGCAGCTAAGCTCTGGGAGGTTTTAAGTGACATCCAGATACAATCCAGATAATTTTGAACTTTGTCAACTATTTCCTCTTCAGCATACACTGATTTGCTTGGATATTAATTATAACATTGACTCAATTTAACAGAACAGAATAACAAGAGTTGGAAGGGGCCTTGGAGGTCTTCTAGTTCAACCCCCTGCTCAAGCAAGAGACCTTATACCATTCTGGACAAATGACTGTCCAATCTCTTCTTAAAAGCCTCCAGTTTGGTCAGGAAATTCTATTTTTGGAAAATAAGTGTGTGCATGTCTAAAACAGAAGTAAGTCATAAAACGGATCATGCATTAATGTTTGGAATACATATTTAGATCAGATTTCTGAATCTAGAAAAGAAAGGAATAGTTTTAAGATGACTGTTCTATGCCACTACTACTTAATGGCATAATGAATTGGTTCATTACCCTTCTCCCTTCTCAAATTCTTCCAAATCTCTGGAGCAGTTCTGAGGGTGGTTTGACACAGGAGGGGCAGGAATTAAGAATTCTTCTCATTGACAGAGTAGCATCTGAGAAGAGAAAAATACCATGGAATCTGCCCTCAAGTTATTTTTCTGAAATGTTTGGTGGTTTGAAATCTTCCCTTAAGCCCTTTGGGAATTAGTAGTGTTTTAATCTATGTAAGATAACATCTCTTATGCTATGACATCAAGGGAACTTTAAATTATATAGAAACCATTACCTGCCAAAGCAGATAAAAAAACCCCAAAAGGTTACTTTCTGCTTTTGGCCCACAACAGAAAGATAGCAAGCTCTCAATGTTGAATTTTTACATTCTCGTTATTTGTTTCTGAGCATGCCAATCTTCTCTATCACAGTGCTTTTCAACTCACAAAACATGATGAAGGTGTACAACACATTCTTAAGGTAGCAGTCTGGTAAAATCTAGAGTACAATTATATAAATTTCCCTATTACCAAGTTATTTTGGAAGACCTGATCTTATGAATCAGAACTAACACTGACCCCTTTTTTGGCTTTGGGAAATTGTAGAAGACTAATCAAATATGTTAGAAATCTATGATTACTGAAACTTAAATCTATAGTCAACATAACAGATGCCAATTAAAGAAAACAGTTAACAATACCAGATGTAATTGCATCGTAGCTGTTTTTGTTATACCACTATTATGCCTTGGAGTGTTGACTGAGATATTTTAATGTTTACAAAGCAAAAATATAAAACTACAGCAATTATAAAAGAAGTGAGATAAAATAGAAATAAACCTAACCGCATCATATACGAAAGCCAAACTTTAAAGTGCTCGATTATCAATGTCTATTATTAGTTATTATATTTAATTTTGGTTTAATAGATTCTTACTTTTTGAATTATAAAAATGAAATCTCTTCGCATTGAAAATGAAGTTATAATACTATATTAAGTAACCATAAATATCTCTATGTCCTTGAATGGAATTAGTCTTGGCTAAGAAACAAAACCTGACATGGCCATTGTTTTAATGGCTCAAAGAGTAGATGGTTCAGTTCAGTCTTTGAGTGACAAACAAGTTTCACCTCAGATTCCTTGGAAGAATCACCGTGTAGTTTCCATGAACATTTCTAATTATGAAAAAATATACATGGGTGTGTAACAGTGATGGGTTTCAAAATTTTTTACTACCAGTTCTGTGGGTGTGGCTTGGTGGGCATGGCATGGCTTGGTGGGCGTGGCAGGGGAAGGATACTGCAAAATCCTCATTTCCTCCCGATCAGCTGGGACTTGGGAGGCAGAGAATAGATGGGGGCGGAGCCAGTCAGAATTTTTACCACTGGTTTTCCAAACTACTCAAAATTTCCACTATCGGTTTTCCAGAACTGGTCAGAACCTGATGAAACCCACCTCTGGTGTGTAAGTCCTCAGTGCCTTTTATTTAGAAAGTGATTCTTTCATATTTCATATTTGTTGTGTGATATTAAAAACACGGACAGGTTTTTAACAGGAACACTGTAATTTCCATGCAGTTTGGTAGACAACTTCCATGAATATGATATTGGGCATTTCCTTTGTAAAATATCGGAGAGCAAGATTTGGATGTTCAAAACCATCAAAGAAATTGAGAGAAATAAAGAAACAGGATACAATCATTGACTAAATTATATGGAAATGAATGCAACGTGGCATTAACCATGTTGTGTATAGTTATGCAAAAAGCATGATGAAAGATCATAGAGTTAAATTCAAGTTTAAAGATAAAAACAGACATGCTCTACCAGAGCCACAATGGATGATGGAACTAAAGTTGATTTACACCATCGAGAATTAAGACTTTCACTGTTCATAAAGCATATTCTGTTCAACTTCTCAAACTACATTGCACGTTTGAGACATGTGACAGTTATTCTCACATGACAGGTGTGGTCAGCCACAAATATTAGTGTTCCAGAAGCCAAATGGATGAAATTACTCCTTACTACCCACTTCGGCTCTTGTTTGTCCCTTTTACTCAGTAAATTCACACCCTTCCAAAGATTGAGTAATTGGGCCGAGGATTCTTAAAGTACTTTAATCAACAACTACTATTGCTGACAAAAGAAAGGCTTTATGTGTGTCAATATTATCACAACTTTGATAATTCCTTCCAGATATTCTAGTTAATCTCTGGACTTCCTAGTGTCTGTCCCTTTTTAGGCTATGTGTGCAAAAAATAGATTGGTAGATCTGCTGGCACAATACGGGACATTACAGTGGGTGTTTAGCTCCCAGATAAGCAACCATTCTACTACTAATAGCACCTGCTAACCTGAAGACTTCAGCTACAAAGGCTGCTGCATGGTCAAGTTGCTATTATTGCCACATCAGCTCCAAAATTAGCCAATTTAATTCTTTTTATATACATAAAACTCAAGTTTTTAACCTATTTAATTTCAGTCTGAACAGGACATAACATTTTAAAACTATGTTGCATATTAGAGCATGTGTGCCCTCTAGAGGAAGTAACAGGACCTGCTGGGCAAAAAACCAAGGAAGAGATCAGAAAACGCAAATTGACTAGCTGCTCTACACACTTTTATTCTTGCAGACTTTAGCCATTGCTACCTTGTGGCAAAGACCATCCTGCTATTTTATCAATTTTTAGATGCCATCATTTTAACACATATACCTTGGGCAGAGACCCTTAAAATGCTGAGAGATTTTCTCATTTAGTTTTGACCCTATACATTTTAATTTGACTTCTTAAGTATGAATATGCTTTTGGGGTACATATTCCAGGCACAGACTCTTTTAGCCTAGGTGTGTGAGAAAATCAACATGAAATTATACTTCAATCTATCAAGTAACAATAATGCGCAATAGCTACAGTCTGTTAATTAAAATACATTTGATAGAAAGTGAAACATCTACATCTGTAAACATCATTTCAGTGTTATTTTGCTGGTTATAAAATATAAAAACCAGGTCAGGATTAAATCAAAGAATAATACTGAAATTGAGATGAAAGAGTCTAGTAATTTAGATACTTTGGTTTAATTGATGCAAGGTTTAATTTTTCATATCTCGTAAACAGTGAATATATATACAATTTGCAATGCTTTATCTGTATATTTTAGCATTAAATATGGTAATATATTATGCACCAAAAATAATCTAGTACTTTTCATACAGAACTATATAAAGCTCCATTCTTTTTCAGATTGTAGACAGTTAGCACCTACCCCTATCCTAGAAGAATGAAATATTTTAGGAAATATTAAAAAGGCAGAATATTATATTTCCCCTAAAAGAGAAAGAGAAATCTTAAGGAGACAGAAACTCAGAGCCACAGTTCCCTGCCCCCAAGCAGATAGTAAGATGAGGCCAGCTTTTAAAATTGCAGATTTGGTAATCCATTCAAGACAGGATATTTTGAACAAGGCAGAATGGTAGGATCCGCCCTCACTCAAGATCCAAACCAGGAAAGCCATTAAGACACAATAGGAATGGCCCAACACCCTTTCAGAACACAAGCCTCTTCATTGCATCAACGATGCCCTTGAAGTGATGTCCCGGTGCCTGGAGGCCGTACGGATCTGGATGGGGAGGAACAGGCTCAGGCTCAACCCATCCAAGACTGAGTGGCTGTGGTTTCCGACGTCCCGATATAGTCAGTTGACGCCATTACTTACTATTGGGGGCGAATCATTGGCCCCCACGGAGAGGGCTTGCAACTTGGGCGTCCTCCTGGATTCACGGCTGTCTTTAGAAGAGCACTTGACGGCCGTGACCGGGAGGATTTTTCATCAGGTTCGCCTGATTCGCCAGTTGCGTCCCTTTCTGGATCGGGACTCTTTACGCACGGTCACTCATGCCCTTGTCACCTCCCGCCTGGACTATTGCAACGCTCTCTACATGGGGCTCCCCTTGAGGAGCACCCGGAGGCTCCAACTGGCGCAGAGTGCGGCCGCGCGGGTGGTAATGGGAGCGACATGGCGTTCCCATGTAACACCTCTCCTGCGCGAGCTGCACTGGCTCCCGGTGGTCTTCCGGGTGCGCTTCAAGGTTTTGGTTACCACCTTTAAAGCGCTCCATGGCTTAGGACCCGGGTACTTGCGGGACCGCCTACTACCACCAATAGCCTCCCACCGGCCGGTACGCTCCCATAGAGAGGGGCTCCTCCGGGTGCCGTCAGCCAAACAATGCCGACTGGCGGCCCCCAGGGGGAGAGCCTTCTCTGTGGGGGCACCTACTATCTGGAACGAGCTCTCCCCAGAGATATGGAGGATCCCGGATCTGCGCACCTTCCGCCGCG